AGCCCAACGCTTTTGATTTTTGTATTTGGTTTGAGATAAAGGCTCAGTTTTATTCTTCTGCCTGTGGATATCCAGTGTTCTTAACACCATTGGTTAAAAAGACTGTCCTTTTCCCATTGTATGCTCTTGGCACCTTTGTTGAAAATTCGTTGATTGTAAATGCATGGGGTCATTTCTGAGCTCTCTATACTGTTCCATTGGTCAGTGTCTCAGTTTTTATGCCAGTGTCATGCTGTTTTGCTGACTATACCTTTGTAGTGTATTTTGATGTCAAGTAGTGTGATACCTCTACCTTTATTGTATATGCTCAAGATTGTCTTGGCTATTTGAGGGCTTTCGTGACTTCATAATTTTAGTATTGTTTTTCCTATTTCTGTAAGAAATGCCATTGGGATTTTGGTAGGAATTACATTGGCTCTATAGATCACTTTGAGTAGTATGGACCTTTAAAAAATATTCTTTCAATCCATAATATGAGATATCTTTCCCTTGATTTTTATCTTCATTTTCTTTCATCAATGTTTTATAGTTTTAGTGCACATATTTTTCACCTTCTTGGTTATATTAACTTGTAAGTATTTTATTTTTTGATGCCATTGTAAATGGGATTAATTTCTTTTTCAGATAGTTTGTCATTAGTGTATAGAAATACAACTAATTTTTATATGTTCATTTTGTATTCCATAACTTTACTAAATTTGTTTATTAAATTTGATAACTTTTTTGTAGAGTATTTGTAACAAGTTTCTTATGTATAAGATCATGTCAATTGCAAACAGGGACAATTTTTTTCTTTATTTCTAACTTGGATGCGTTTCTTATCTTTTTCTTGCTCAATTGCTCTGACTTGGACTTTCAGTACTGTGTTGAATAGAAGTGGTGAGTGTGGGCATCCTTGCCTTGTTCCTAATTTTAGTGGTAAAATCAATTTTTCACCACTGGGTATGATGTTAACCAGACACTTTTTATTTATGTTCTTCATCATGTTGATGTAATTTCCCTGTGTTTCTAGTTTGTTGAGGGTTTTTAATCATGAGTGGCTATTCCTGCGGCCTGAATGTTTGTGTCTTGCTATTCATATGTTGAAGCCATAAGTTGAATTCATATGTTGAAGCCTAATTCCTTGTGTGATGGTATTTGTAGATGGGACCTTTGGAAGGTGTTTAGGTCATAAGAGTGTGGCCCTCATGAATAGGATTAGTGCCCTTAGACAAAGCAAAATGATGGTTGCCAATGAACCAGAAAATAGGCTCTCATCAGGTACTGAATCTGCTTGCCCCTTGATTTTGGATGTCACAAGTCTTCAGAACTATGAGAAATAAATTTCTATTGCTTGTAACCCATCCAGTCTATGTTATTTGTTATACCAAATAAGCTAAGGCAGATGTTTAATTTTATTAAATGCTTTCTTTTTTTTATTGATATGATCATGTTATTTTAATTCCTTATTCTGTTAATGTGGTACATCACATTTATTGATTTGCATATGTTGAACCATCCTTGTGTGCCAGGAATAAAACCCACATGGTCATGGTGTATGATCCTTTTGTGCTATTGAATTCAGTTTGCTAGTATTTTATTTAGGATTTTGGATCTATGTTCAATAGGGAAATTGGCATGTAGTGATCTTTTCTCATGGTGTATTTGTTGGGATTTAGTGTCAGGATAGTGCTTGCCTCATACAATAAGTTTGGAAGTATTTCCTTCTCTTCAATTTTTTGGATGAGTTTGAGAAGAATTGATATTAATTCTTCTTTAAATGTTTGGTAGAATTTGCCTGAGAAGCCATCAGGTCCTGGGCTTTTCTTTGTTAGGAGGACTTTGATTACTGATTCAATCTCCTTACTCATTATAGATCTGTTTAAACTTTCTATTGCCTTATGATTCAGGCTTGGTAGGTTGTATATTTCTAGGAATTTATCCATTCCTTCAAGGTTATCGAGTTTGTGAACATATAATTGTTCACAGTAGTCTCTTATGATCCTTTTTATTGCTATGGCATCAGTTGTATGTTCTTTCATTTATAATTTTACTTATCTTTTGTTTCTGTTGTTTCTCCCTTTTTCCTTGGTCTACCTAAAAGCTTGTCAATTCTTTTTTTTTTTTTTCTGAGACGGAGTCTTGCTCTGTTGCCCAGACTGGAGTGCAGTGGCATGATCACAGCTCATTTCATTCTCCACCTCGCAAATTCAAGTGATTCTCCTGCCTCAGGCTCCCGAGTAGCTGGCACTACAGGCATGTGCCACCACACCTGACTGATTTTCATATTTTTAGTAGAGACAGGGTTTCACCATGTTGGTCAGGCTCGTTTTGAACTCCTCATCTCAGGTGATCCACCTGCCTCGACATCCCAAAGTGCTGGGATTGCAGGCATGAGCCACCGCACCTGGCCAAAGCTTGTCAATTCTATCTTTTTGAAAAATCAACTTAATTTCATTGATTTTTTTCCTATTCTCTATTTGATGTATTTTTCTGTGATCTTTGTTATTTTCTTCCTTCTACTAACTTTAGGTTTAGTTTGTTCTTTTATTTCTCATTCTTCGAGGTGTAAAGTTAGGTTTTGTAATTGAAATCTTTCTTTTTATTTTAAAGTTAGGTGTTTATCACTCTGAACTTCCCTTTAGTACTGCTTTTGCTGCCTCCCAGTAAGTTTGGTATATTACATTTTTGTTTTCATTTATATCAATGGATAAAAAAATTATTTTCTAATTTCTTTTTTTATCCATTGGTTGTTCAAGGGTGTATTGCTTAATTTTTACATATGTATATTTTTTCCAGTTTTTCTTCTGGTATTGAATTTTAGTTTCGTTCCATTGTGGTTGGAAAAGATTCTTGATATAATTTCAATCATTTTAAATTTGCTAAGACTTGTTTTGTGACCTAATATGTGGTCTGTCCTGGGGAATGGTCCATGTGTGCTTGAGAAGCATGTATATTCTGCAGTAGTTAGCTTGTGTATTTTGTATATGTCTGTTAAGGCCATTTGGTCCATAGTGTCATTCAAATGTACTATTTCTCTCTCTCTCTTTTTTTTTTTTTTTGCCTAGTTGTTCTACTTGCTATTGAAGGTAGGATTTTGAAGTTTCTTACTATTGAATTGCTGTTTATTTCTCCCTTCAGCTCTGTCATTATTTGCTTTATATATTTAGATGTCTGATGGGTGTGTATATAATTAATTGTTACAACTCCTGGTGAAATGGCCATTTCATCATTATATAATATCATAATTTGTTTCTTGACTTAAAGTCATTTTGTCTGTATTAGCATGTCATTCTGCTCTCTTTTGGTTGCCATTTTCATGGAATAGCATTTTCTGCTCCTTTACTTTTAGCCTAAGTGTCAGTAAATACAAAGTGGGTATCTTGTAGACAGCATATAATTGGATTTTGCATTTTTATTAATTCGCCACTCTGTTTTGAGAGTTTACTTCTGTTTACATTTAAAGTAATTATTGTTAGAGAAGGATTTACTACTGCAATTTTATTAATTGTTTTCTGTTTGTCATGTAGGTCTTTTGTCCCTCTTTTCTTCCCTGCTGTCTTCCTTTGTGTTTTATTGTTGTTAATTTTTGTATTAATATGCTTTCATTCTGTTTTCTTTTTGTGTATATAACTTCTAAAGGTATTTTCTTTGTGTTTTCCACAAAACATCTTATAATTATCATGGTCTATTTTAAGCTGATAACAACTGAACTTAAATCACATACACCTTATACTTTTATTCCCCACTACATGTTTTATGTTATTGATTCACAATTTACAGTTATTTATATTGTGTATCCAGTAACATAATTTTAGCTATAGTTATTTTTAATATCTTTGTCTTATAACTTTTATACCATAATTAAAAGTGTCCAATTCACTGGCATTAAGGACATGACAAAATCACTTTTAAAATTTCTTTAAAATTTATTATTTGGCTGTCAGTTTTTCAATATTACTCTTGCACATACTTTAAAGAGTCAAAATAGTTCCAAAAAGCTCACTGTTAAAGAAACAACAATTTCCACATACACTATGGTTTTGGCTTCACTTCCCCTGCTCTTGACAGAACCACTTTCAGCTCTTTCAATTCTCTATCTGTTCAAATTACATAATAATAATTTTGCTACTTTTTGATTTTTGTTTTAGCACTGACTTCCCACCATGGAAGGTGGAGATTGATCTCTTTTTCAGTTTTCCTTTTGCCACATAGTAGCACTCTTTTACCCCCATTCACTCCTCATGTTTATGTGATCATTTTGGTTAGATCAACATTCAGTATTTGCATTATTCTGACTACATAAATGAAATTCAGCTGAGCTGAATAATATACTTTTACTTTTCCCTGTACCCAGGGAAATGCAGGTAATTAATAGAAACTTGGGGTTGGGTGTGGTGGCTCACACCTGTAATCCTAGCACTTGAGAGGCTGATAGGGCAGAATTGCTTGAGCCCAGGAGTTCAAGACCGGCCTGGGCCACAAAGTGAGACCCCCATTTTTATTTTTAAAGTTTTTTTAAAAAAGAAATTATGGGTATCCTCTTGAGGTTGTGGTCTAAAGGTGAATAATTCCTTGATAAGGTCTAAGCTGCCCTAGTTCCTTGGTTAGTTGCAAGAGATGAGACTTGAGTAGAGCTTAGAGAACCTCTCTCTGGGTCATGCTGGATGACTGAGTTATATATCTCCTGTCTTTCCTAACCCCTCTCTCTCCACCTCTTTTTTACCCTCAGCGGATAGCAGGCTCCAAGCTCCCTTCCAGGCTCCAGTATTTTGGTCAGTCACTGAGTGGGGGGCAGGACCTCACAATGGATGGACTGGTGGACCTGAGTGTAGGAGCCCAGGGGCACGTGCTGTTGGTCAGGTGAGAATGCCTTTTGGAGTCAACCAGACATTCTCCCTTGAAGGAATGTTTCTTGTTTGAAGGTCCCTGATGGTTTTCTGGTGTCCCTGCAGGTCCCAGCCAGTACTGAGAGTAGAGGCAACTATGGAGTTCAATCCCAGGGAAGTGGCAAGGAATGTATTTGAGTGTAATGATCAGATGGTGAAAGGCAAGGAAGCTGGGGAGGTCAGAGTCTGCCTCCGTGTCCAGAAGAGCACACGGGATCGGCTAAGAGAAGGTGAGTCTCAAGAGGTTAAATGACCGAGGACATGAATGGGTGCTGCAACCCACTCTGCCCAGCCTTCTGGCTGTCCTGAACTGAGTTCTCACAGGCTCTGACAACCTTCTCCAAGACTTACCTGAGTGAGCGGGCTATTGCCCTGCTGGGTGGGGAAGTCCAGTGGACCTCCCTAAAGAGGTGGGCATGTGGCACTTCCTTACTCCCTCAGTTCTCCGGAGGACTGAGGTCCCCATGCCTGTGAACAAACCATGTTTTTGTTTTTTAATAAATGGAGAGAAAACCTATTTGGGGAGATTGAATTGATGAAGCTAAACAGAAATTTACAAAGCACTCACATACACATTTTATCACCGGTGACTTCTTCCCTTGTTCCTATTCTCAAAGAGTAGAATTGTGTTTGGGGTGGGAGAATAGTAATGACAGTACTAAGAATAACTGTCTCTAGTAGTGACAGTAGTAGGAATAACTGTCTCTAGTAATGACAGTACTAGAAAGAATTGTATCCTCTTTAAAGGTAAAATTATTAGCTGGGCATGATGGCAATTTCTTGTAGTCTCAGCTACTTGAGAGGCTGAGGTGGGAGGATCATTTGAGCCCAGGAGGTTGAGGCCAGCCTGGGCAACATAGCAAGACCCATCCCTAAAAAATGATTACCTTTCTAGGAGCAGTTTTCCTAGGCTGAGGAGATAGCATTCCAGATATGAGGGCAGCTAGCATGGCTAGAAATTAAGAGCAAAATGTTAGAGAGTAGGGAATTGAAGAAGAGTTACCCCCAAACCTACATAGAAATCCCCCTCTACTCTTTGGCTGACTCCTAAGACATGAATGCCCAGGTCAGTACTCCAAGAAACCCAGTAGAAAACAGCAACTGAAAAGCCAAAGAGCTGATCAGAGAATTCAGCAGCTCCCCACTGCTGGGGAGACAGAGATTTGAGAGGCCTTGGTAAATGCCTTGGTCTTTCCATTGAGACAACTGACTAGCAACCAAGAGAAACAATATACAATAGAAACAGACCCACAGGTGATTCAGAAATTAGAATGATTGGATAGGAATTTTAAAAAGGTAACTATAATTAATATCTTCAAGAAAAAAGAGAAAGGATGAGAACTTCATCAAAAACCTGGAATTCATAAAATAGAGTCAAATGGAAACTCTAGAACCAAAAAACACAATGACTGAAATGAAGAATTCAGTAAATAGATTTATAGCAGATTAGAAGCAGAACAGAGAATTAGTGAACTAGAAGACAAGTCATTTGAAAGTATCTGGATAAATATGCAGGTAAAAAGAATGAAAAATACAGAAAAACATCATAAGAGATGTGTGGGATATGGTGAAAGATCTAACAAACGTGTAATTGGAATTACAGAAAGTGGTGGTGGGGGAGGAGAGAGAGAGAGAGTGAGAGAAAGAAAATAGGAAAGATAGAATAGGAAAGACAGAATAGGAAAGATGGAATAGGATGGAATAGGAAAGATGTTAAAGAATTTCCGACTTCATTTGGGAGCCGCCCCAGGCCAGGGGGCGACACAGCGTCCCCTCCCTTAGCCTAGCCGCGACCCAGCTTTAGGGCCTAAGGGCAAATCAAGCGTCCGGTCCTCCCGGCACCGGCGCCGTGTGCGCGGCCCGCTCAGGCCCTTGGCCACCGTCGCCGCGGGGACAGGCCGCGAGCCACAGAGGCCTAGTGCGCGCCCCGCCCCTGAGCCCGCAGTAGGAGCGGCCTCAGCCCGTGAGCCGGGAGTTGTCCCCTTAGTCATCCCTCGCACTTGGAGGGCCGCTGGGGCGGGGCAGGCCTTCGGGCCGAGTGGCACCCGGGCGGTCGAATCCCTCAACTCCCGCGGGTGGCCCGGCGAGGGAAGGAGCCGAGTTCGGTTTCCTCAAAATTATAAAAGCAGGAAAACTCAAGACAAAGAAATCCAACAAGGCTAGTGATTTCAGCGATATGGAGAATTGGCCAACGCCAAGTGAATCAGCGAACACTGGATTTCAGAGTGTCCTCAGCCAAGGAAATAAAAAGCTACAAAATAGAAAAGAAAAAGAAGAGAAGGTTGAAAAGAGAAGTAACAATGAGAGCAAAGAAAATCGGGAAACAAAGTTAAATGGTCCTGGTGAAAATGTCAGTGAGGATGAGGCTCAGTCAAGTAATCAACGAAAGAGAGCTAATAAGCGCAAGTGGTTACCACTCTACTTAGATGATGTAAGATCAGAGAGTCAAGAAAGACCTGGATCCCGGAACAGCTGAAGATGTCAACCTGAAGCAAATAAACCAACACATAACAATAGGAGAAATGATACACGAAATTGGAGGCGAGACAGAGAAAAAAAGAGATGATCAAGATGAAGTTTCCAGTGTGAGAAGTGAGGGTGGTAATATCCGAGGTTCCTTTAGAGGTCGAGGAAGAGGTGGAGGATGGGGAAGAGGACCAGGCAGAGGAAATCCTCGACTGAACTTTGACTATTCATATGGTTATCAAGAACATGGTGAAAGGACTGATTGACCATTTCAAACAGGACTTAATACCAGCATGATGTATTACTATGATGATGGTACAGGTGTACAGGTGTATCCTGTGGAAGAAGCATTGCTTAAAGAGTATATTAAGCGTCAAATTGAATATTACTTCAGTGTAGAAAATTTGGAACGAGACTTCTTTCTTTGGGGAAAGATGGATGAGCAAGGTTTCTTGCCTATTTCCCTGATTGCTGGTTTTCAGCGTGTTCAGGCTCTCACTACAAACTTTAATCTCATCTTAGAAGCACTGAAGGATAGCACAGAAGTAGAAATTGTGGACGAGAAAATGAGAAAAAAGATAGAACCAGAAAAGTGGCCAGTTCCAGGCCCTCTTCCACGCGATGTGCCACCAACAGACTTCTCTCAACTGATTGATTGTCCAGAGTTTGTACCAGGCCAAGCCTTTTGCTCATATCCAGTCAGGGTGATGATCTTCTTAAGCTCTTGGATGTCATTTGATCAGAATATGCAGTGGAATAGGTGACTCATTGAAATGCCATTATAAATACTGGAACAAATCCTGCTGCAAAAATGAAAGCGATCAGACTGTCTTCTGTTCAAGAATGTCTATTCCCACCTCCTGGTGGAGGAAGTTGGGCCAACACTGCAGTGGAGATAACCACCTTTGCGATAATGAGAGACAGACCAGAGGACTGCTACTCTTTTTATAGGAGCTGCCTATTTCTGTGTAGTTGGCCTGGGCTGCATGGGCTGCTTTTATTCATGGTGGAAAAGTTAATTGTTATTATTCTGGAAATACCGCAAGAGTATGTTTTCTGTTTCCAGGGTTATGTACTTGTGTCCAGATGAATAAAGCAGAAAAGGGGATTGAGTAGCATTTCCCAGATTCTTAAGTACTTTGCTATTTGATTTGCCTTTCAGTGTAGTGTACATTGCAAAACTCAGATATTGTCATGATGTTTCACTTGGACATAAGACTTATTAATGTGGACACTTACGGGGTAAGGAATTTAAAAACTGGATGAAGATATTTCTCCCTTTACTCTTCAAAATGTATTTTTGATACATCAGTATGAGAGAACATCCCATCAACAAAGCATCAATGATGGACAATCTCACAGTATTTTTATCTTATGCTTCTTTGTCAGGCTTCTGCTTCTAATCCCAGTAAGCAAGTTGGACAGGCATTTTAAAAGCTGAAGAAAAGTGACATTATTTTAGCTAATGGTTTTAAATTTATTTTTTGTTAAGATATAATGGGTGATTATATAAGTTAGATTTATCTATTGTATCAACTTGGGTCCAAGATGATAGTTTTAGCCAGCTTGTGAATGCGCATTGGGTAAGTTAGCTAAAATAACATGTATTTTCTCTACAGGGTAGGTAAGATAGGTCATTCAAGTTGGTAACCATTTATGCATACTAATCTGTCCATTAACCGTCCATTAACTGTTTATGCATACTAATAAAATTATAAGAATAATATAAAAAAAGAATTTCCCCAAACTGGCCAGTTGCGGTGGCTCACACCTGTAATCCCAGCACTTTGGGAGGCCGAGGCAGGTGGATCACCTGAGGACAGGAGTTTGAGACCAGCCTGGCCAACATGGTGAAATCCCGTCTCTACAAAAAATACAAAATTAGCAGGTGTGGTGGCATGCATCTGTAATCTCAGCTACTCAGGAGGCTGAAGCAGAATCGCTTGAAACTGGGAGGCGGAGGTTGCAGTGACCTGAGCTCGCCCCATTGCATTCCAGCCAGGGTGACAAGAGTGAAAGTCCATTAAAAAAAAAATTCCCCAAACTGATGAAAGACATCAAGATTCTTTACAAAATCAAAGCAGGATAAATATGAAGGACATTATATCAATGTATGTTATAATCAAACTGCTGAAGACCAAAGACAAAGAGAAAAAAAATTTAAAGTAGCCAGAAAATACAGTAAATTTTTTATTGAGTAACAGAATAGCTACCATTTATTGAGCACTTATTGTATAAAAGGCACTGTGCTAAATACTTGATAAGCACTGTTTCATTTCCTTTTTACCATTGGGAGGGTGTCATTATTATCATTATTATCCTCACTTTAAAAATAAAGAATGGAGGCCAGGCGCAGTGGCTCACGCCTTTTATCCCAGTGCTTTGGGAGGCTGAGGCAGGTGGATTAGTTCGAGACCAGCCTGGCCAACATGGTGAAACCCTATCTCTATTAAAAATACAAAAATTAGCAGGACGTGGTGGCATGTGCCTGTAATCCCAGCTACTCGGGAGGCTGAGGCAGGAGAATCGCTTGAACCTGGGAGGCAGAGGTTGCAGTGAGCTAAGATTGCACCCCTGCACTCCAGCCTGGGCAACAGAGCGAGATTCTGTCTCAAAAAAGAAAATAAAAACTAAAAAGAAAGGAAGGAAGGAAGAAGGGAAGGAAGGAAAGGAAGAAAAGGAAAGAAGGAAAGAAAGGAAAGAAGGAAAAAAGGAAGGAAGGAAGGAAAGGAAGGAAGGGAGGAAGGAAAAGAAAGAAAGAGAAAGAAAGAAAGAAGGAAAGAAAGAAAAGAAAAGAAAGAAAGGAAAAAGGAAGGAAGGAAGGAAGGAAGGAAGGAAGGAAGCAAGCAAGGGAGACTCAGAGAGTTCAGACAACATACCTCAAGTCGTACAGCTGAGAAGCAGAGGAACTGGGCCTTGAGCTCCCATCTGCCGGGCTCCGAGGGGCAGGCCGCTCACCCGCTGTGCCACCCTGTCCCTTCAGGGCAGATCCAGAGTGTTGTGACTTACGACCTGGCTCTGGACTCCGGCCGCCCACGTTCCCGCGCTGTCTTCGGTGAGACAAAGAACAGCACGCGCAGGCAGGCGAAGACCTTGGGGCTGACCCAGACTTGTGAGACCCTGAAGCTACAGTTGCCGGTGAGCAGGAGAGTGGCCAGAACCCTGTGTTCTCCAAGCATGGGGTGGGCTTGGGGAGCTAAGGAGGGCAGATCCCCAAATCCCGGCTATCTCTTAGGATTGCATCGAGGACCCAGTGAGCCCCATTGTGCTGCGCCTGAACTTCTCTCTGGTGGGAACTCCCTTGTCTGCTTTCGGGAACCTCCGGCCGGTGCTGGCTGAGGATGCTCAGAGATTCTTCAGAGCCTTAGTGAGTCCGGAGTTGGGGTCCCGCAGGGGTGTGGAAGAGACCAGAGGCCAAGGTGGTTGAAACTCATTTTATTTGATTGCATCTAATTTTACTTCAACATTTTATTTTATTGTTTAATTTCACAACATTTGGTTATTTCCTTTCCTTTCATTTGATCATATTCATTTTTTTAAAAGTTTCCCTTTGAGAAGAATTGTGGCAATGACAACATTTGCCAGGATGACCTCAGCATCACCTTCAGTTTCATGAGGTGAGTTTCCTTTCCTCCACACCTCCTCCAGAGGAGGACCCGGACCATGACCCGCTGTGTTCTCCTCCTGGCCCCCAAGGGAGCCGGGTGTTCCTGGGCTCTGAGGTCCCGTGTGGCTGCCCCTGTACTGTTGTCTCTCATCCAGTGCCCTGAGTCTCCGTTCCGCTGAAGCAGGCTTTGCCACAGGGAAGCCCCCAGCGCCCCACCCCCGGCCTGTCTTCTTCCCACAGCCTGGACTGCCTCGTGGTGGGTGGGCCCCGGGAGTTCAACGTGACAGTGACTGTGAGAAATGACGGCGAGGACTCGTACAGGACACAGGTCACCTTCTTCTTCCCGCTTGGCCTGTCCTACCGGAAGGTGTCCAGGCTCCAGGTAACCACATCCTTCTCAGGCTCCATCTGACCTTTGCTTCACCGTCCTCATGGCTGGAGGTGGATATCACCGCCTTTGCCTCCCTTGCCTTCCAGAACCAGCGCTCACAGCGATCCTGGCGCCTGGCCTGTGAGTCTGCCTCCTCCACCGAAGTGCCTGGGGCCTTGAAGAGCACCAGCTGCAGCATAAACCACCCCATCTTCCCAGAAAACTCAGAGGTCAGAACTCCTGGCTCCTTCCCTCCTTTTTTCTTTGATTTCTTTGGGGATTCTTTTCTTCTTCTTCCCTTCTTTATTAGTGATTCCTTTTTGTACAAAACAGCTTTATTGAGATATAATTCACATACCATCCAATTCACCTATTTAAAGCATACATTTCAAACCCAGCACAGTGGCTCATGTTTGTAATCCTAGCACTTTAGGAGGTCGAGGCAGGAGGATTGCTTGAGTCCAAGAGTTTGAAACCAGCCTAGGTGACATGGCAAGATCCTGTCTCTACAAAAACTGTAAAAATTAGCTGGGGCTGGTGGTGCACACCTGTAGTCCCAGCTACTTGGGAGGCTGGGGTGGGAGGATCTTCTAAGCCTGGGAGGTTGAGGCTGCAGCGAGCTATGATAACACCACTGCACTCTAGCCTGGGCAACAGAGTGAGACCCTGTCTCAAAAATAAAATAAAATAAAATAAAATAAAATAAAATAAAATAAAGCATACAGTTCAGTGGCTTTGAGTGAATTCACAGGGTCTTGCATCCATCATCATGATCCATTTCAGAACATCTTCATTACCTCACAAAAAGCTTCTGTTCCTGTTGGCCCTCAACCCCAACCCTCCCATCTCCCCCAGCTCTAGGCAACCACTAATCTACTTTGTGTCTATAGATTTGCCTGTTCTGGACATTTCATATAAATGAAATAATACCGTATGTGATCCTTTTGCTAGCATAATGTTAAGCAAGGACTTAGCAAGGATCATTCACATCGTTGTATGTGTCAGTACTTCATTGCTTTACATTAAAAAAAATTTTTTAGTATATTTTTTGAGATGGAGTCTCACTTTGTCACCCAGGCTGGAGTGCAGTGATGCAATCTTGGCTCACTGCAACCTCCGCCTCCCAGGTTTAAGCGATTCTTGTGCCTCACCCTCTCAAGTAGCTGGGGTTACATGCGCCTGCCACCACGCCCAGTTAATTTTTGTATTTTTAGTAGATACAGGGCTTCGCCATGTTGGCCAGGCTGGTCTCGAACTCCCAACCTCAGGTGATCCACCTGCCTCAGCCTCCCAAAGTGCTAGGATTACAAGCGTGAGCCACCACGCTCGGCCTTCATTGCTTTTTATTTGGTGAACAATATCCTGTTGTATGGATGGGCCATATTTCATGTCTCCATTAATCAGATGACGGGCATTTGGGTTATTTCTTCTCTCCTATTTCTATCATTGCTTCTCCTTTCTCCCATTCCAGGTCACCTTTAATATCACATTTGATGTGGACTCTAAGGCTTCCCTTGGAAACAAACTGCTCCTCAAGGCCAATGTGACCAGGTGCTCTCTGCCAGGCTTCTGCATGCAGTTGCCCTTCTAAGGCCCCAGCCCCTGGCCCAGGGTGGGCCTTTGCCCTCTGCCCACTGGTTCTCCCTTCAATGCATTTGTTCACTTAGCAAACACTCACTGAGCACCCACCACGTGCTGGGTCTTGTGCTGAGTGCTGGTGGGACGGTGGTGGATCACACGATGGTGGTTCCTGCCCTCTCAGAGATGATAATTGAGTGGCAAAGACAGGCAAGAAAACTAGCCATTAATCTTGCATCTCAAATCCAGTATGAGATGCAAGATTAGATGGCGGATGGCCAGTGTTCTTGGGAGTCTGGTGTTCAGAGAAGATTCCTAAAGAAAATATATTTAGGAGCTGGATGTGGTGGCTCAGCCCTGTAATCCCAGCACTTTAGGAGACTGAGGCAAAACAATGACTCGAACCCAGGAGTTCAAAATCAGCCTGGACAACATATCAATACCCTGTTTCTACAAAAAATACAAAAATTAGCCAGGCATGGTGGTGCATGCCTGTAATCCCAGCTACTCAGGAGGCTGAGGCACAAGAATTGCCTGAACCTGGAAGATGGAGGCTGCAGTGAGCTGAGATTGTGCCACTGCACTGCAGCCTGGGCAACAGAGTGAGACCCAGTCTCAAAAAAATTAAAAATAAATAAAATAAAAATTAAAAAAGAAAATGAAAGGGGGAAAAAAGAAAATATATTTAGACAAAGCAAAAGCATGAACTGAGGGCGGGCATGAAGACAGAAGGCAGGAAGCAGGTATCAGGGATGGGAAGATCCGGGTGTGTTTAAGAGTGGCCTCAGCATGAAATGCAGGGTCGAAGGAGCTGGTGGTGGTTAGATACAGGCCATGTCCCAAAATGGCTGATGGGTGTTGCTAGGGATTTGCAGTTTCGCCTCTGGGAGTGACATAATCATATTGGCATGTTAGAACGATCACTCTTCAGGAGGGCTGACGATTGGGGTGGGAGCAGGTGTGAATTCAGGGACCAGTTAGAGGAAGGTGGCTGTAGACATCCAGGTGGAGAGGGATGGGCCTGGGCTAGGCAGGGGCAGCGGCTGGAGTACAGTGGGGTTTCAGACGCAGAGATAACAGAACTTGGTGGCTGATTGGAGGCAGGGAGTGAGGGAGAGGGAGGAGGAAAGACTGTCCGTTCTCAAGAGCTTGCTGGAGCTCTCTCTTTCCCTCTAGTGAGAACAACATGTCCAGAACCAACAAAACCGAATTCCAACGGGAGCTGCCGGTGAAATATGCTGTCTACATGGTGGTCACCAGGTGCTGGCTTCAGGACTGTAGCTGAGCCTCCCTTCTGGGCTGGACATGACTGATCTGTGTGCAAGAGTCTGTGCATGTCTGTGTGTGTGTGAGTCTGAGGAGCTATGTGCATGTGTATGTGTGCATGGGTGTGTATGTGTGCATGGGTGTGTGAGTGTGAGGATCTATGCATGTTTGTGTGTATGGATGTGTATTTGTGCATGTGTGTGTCTGAGGATCTATCTGTATGTGTGTATGTGTGCATGGGCGTGTGTGCATGTGAGTGTGATCTATGTGCATGTGTATGTGTGCAAGGGTGTGTGTATTTGTGTGTCTGAGGATCTATGTGCATGTGTGTATGTGTGCATGGGTGTGTATTTGTGTGAGAATCTATGTGCATGTGTATGTGTACATGGGTGTGTATTTATGCATGTGTGTGTGAGGATCCTTGTGTGTGTATTTGTGCATGTGTGTCTGAGGATCTGTGTGCATGTATGTGTGCATGGGTGTGTATTTGTGCATGTGTGTGTGAGGATCTATGTGCATGTGTGTGTGTGCATGGGTGTGTATTTGTGCGTGTGTGAGAGGATTCATGTGCATATGTGTGCATGGGTGTGTGTCCATGGGTATGTATTTGTGCATGTATGTGTGTCTGAGGATCTATGTGTGCATGTATGTGTGAATGAGTGTGTATTTGTGCATGTGTGTGTCTGAGGGTCTATGTGCATGTATGTGTGCATGGGTGTGTATTTGTGCACGTGTGTGTGTCTGAGAGTCTACATGCGTGTATGCGTGCATGGGTGTGCATTTGTGCATGTGTGTGTAAGTGGCCCAAATGGACACGCACTGTGTGTCCAGCATACATTGCTTCCCCTATCCTCCTGCACCCTACCACATCTCCACCCCCCAGGCCTTCATTACCCATGTGCCTGTTCGCTCCTTACACACTTAGCCTGAGACACCCTCCCAGGGCACCCATCATGTTTTGTCACCTCCTGTCCCTTCTTTCTCCCTTCAGCCATGAGGTCTCCACTAAATATATCAACTTCACGGCCTCAGAGAATACCAGTCGGGTCATGCAGCATCAATATCAGGTGGGGAGCTGGGGCATCTTGGTCCTGAGAAGGAGGCTGGGGAGGAAAATCGATGGTAGACGATGCAGAAACAGGGATGGAAAATGTGCGCAAGGCGCCTGTGGTATGCGGGACTTGGTCCACGCTGCTGTCAGTATGCACACATGCACACACGTATGTATGTGACATGCACGCACGTAATTATCTTGTGTTACCTTCGTAATGACTCTGTGGGGCACTGTCATGATCCCCAGTTTACAGATGAAGAAACTGAGGCTCAGAGAGGTTTACAGAACACGCCCGAGGTCTCCCACCGAGTAAGTGGGAGACCTAGGACTGGAGACCAGGCCATGTGGCACTGGAATGCATATTAGGTGTACACTCTACTCTCTCAAACAGGAAGGGGCAGGACGCCCTGGCCTGTGGCCTGCCCCATAGGGAGGGGAGGCTGATTTTCCAGGCTGGTGGGGGAGGACGGCCAGAGCCCTGACCCCGCCCTCCCCGGTGCAGGTCAAAAACCTGGGGCAGAGGAGCCTCCCCATCAGCCTGGTATTCTTGGTGCCCGTCCGGCTGAACCAGACGATCATATGGGACCGCCCCCAGGTCACTTTCTCCGAGGTGAGCGGAGCTCGGCCTGACTCCTGCAGCGCCCTGGGCCTTCCTCTCACCTCTGTCTCCACTGTTGGGTTTTGGAGCTGCTCCCCCTCCCTCCTGGACCCAAGCCATCTCACCTCTTGAGAGATGGGCCCTGGCGCCTTCATCTCTGCCCCTTCTCAGTGCGTCTCTTTCCTCAGAGCCTCTCGAGTACGTGCCACACCGAGGAAATACTTCCCACCCCTTACACCGACTTTCTGGCTAAGCTTCAGAAGGACCCAGTGGTGGTGAGAAGCTAAGTCAGTCCCAGGGCCATATGGAGACCCAGCGCGCTTCCCTGCTGCAACCTGTATGGTCTCTGAGCACGTGGGGAGGGGTGTTCTTGGCCTTCTGCTTCCTTACCCGTCCCCTCCCCTCCTGCGTTCCCCAGAACTGCTCCATCGCTGTCTGCCAGAGAATCAAGTGTGACATCCCATTCTTTGGCATCCAGGAAGAATTCAATGCCACCCTCAAAGGCAACCTCTCGTTTGGCTGGTACATCAAGGTGTGTGGGGTCCTGATGCTTCGCCGGGCACAGGCGTGGTGCTCAGGGCCCAGGTGCAGTGCACACCCGCTCTCTTCCACAGACGTCGCATAACCACCTCCTGGTCGTGAGCACAGCTGAGATCATGTTTAACAATTCCACGTTCACCCTGCTTGCGGGACAGGGGGCGTTTGTGAGGGCCCAGGTACCTGTCTTGGATGCTGAGGAACTATTGGAGGGAGAGGGGCTGGGCTTGTGGAGATCTCTGGGGGAGGGGAGAGAGAGACACAAAGAGAGAGGGAGAGAGAGACACAGCAACAGAGAGACATAAGGAGAGAGACAGACATAAAGAGACAGAGACAGAGAGATAGAGACAGAGGGAGCAACAGATACAGAGACAGACACAAAGGAGAGAGAGCGAGACAGAGACGGGGAGAGATGGAGATAGAGACAGATAGAGACAGAGACAGATACAGAGCGAGACAGAGACGGGGAGAGATGGAGATAGAGACAGATAGAGATGGAGACAGAGACAGATACAGAGCGAGACAGAGACAGAGACAATGAGAGATGGAGATAGAGAGACAGAGAGAGGCAGAAAGAGAGAAAGATAGAGGACAGAGAAACAGAGGGAGGAGGGAGAGGAGGGAGAAGAGGTGGGGGAGGAGGACTGAGGGCTGGGATTCTGGGGGACTTGAGGAGGAGTTCCCCACTTGATTCAGGGGTGCACACGGTGTGAATGGGGAACCCCCAGAAATCCGGAGTCGTCTCCCCTGACGTCCCTCCTTCCTCCCCCAGACAGAGACCAAAGTGGAGCTGTTCGAGGTCCCCAACCCCTTGCCGCTCATCGTGGGCAGCTCTGTGGGGGGGCTGCTGCTCTTGGCCATCATCACCGCCGTGCTGTACAAGGTGCTCCCCTCCATTCCCCCACCCCTCCCTTCCTCCTCTCAGGCCTCGCGCTGCAGTTCCATGCCTCAGTTTCCCCGGCGGGGCTGCCAGCTCTGTGACTGGGGCGAGTCCGGGAGTCTCTCTGCGCCTCAGTCTCTTAGGGAGGGTGGCCAGGTTCATGCGCAGGGCGCGCTGAGAACGCCCCAGGTACAGACTCCACCAAATGCAGAGTCGCCCTCCTTGTTGTAGTTTCTGTTTCTCTCCAGGCCCTGAAGCGGATGTCACTGTCCTCCCGCCCTGCCCTCCTGGGTCCCTTCTGTCTCTGCCACGCGCTCTGGGACCCGTGCTGGCCCTCCCACCCCCTCCCCCTGGTCTGCGGAGTCGCCCTCTCCCTGGCTGTTGTCACCCTCACTGCCCTCCTCTGCCCCACAGCTCGGCTTCTTCAAGCGGCAGTACAAGGACATGATGAGTGAAGGGGGTCCCCCGGGGGCCGAACCCCAGTAGTGGCTCCTTCCCGACCGACCGAGCTGCCTCTCCGTGGCCAGCAGGACTCTGCCCAGACCACACATAGCCCCCAGGCTGCTGGACACACCAGACGGCGAAGTCTCCCCGAGACAGGACCAGCTTGGGCTTACATTTGTGTGTGTGCAAGTGTGTATGTGCATGTGTGTGAGTGTGTGCAAGTGTCTGTGTGCAAGCGTGTGCACGTGTGCGTGTGCGTGCAAGTATGTGAGTGTGTCCAACTGTGTGTGCGTGTGTCCAAGCGTGTGCAAATGTGTGTAAGCGTATGCATATGTGTGTGCATGTGTGTGAGTGCATGTGTGTGCTCAGGGGTGTATGGCTCATGTGTGTGACTCAGATGTCTCTGGCGTGTGGGTAGGTGGTGGCAGCGCAGCCTCTCCCGCAGAAGGGAACTGCCTGGGCTCCCTTGTGCGTGGATGAAGCTGCTGCTGGGTTTTCCTCCGGGAGAGGGAACGGTCAATCCTGTGGGTGAACACAGAGGGAAACGCAGCAGCTCCTCTCCACTGAAGGAAGTGGGACTTCCTGTCGCCGGAGAGCCTGTGCGGCCTACGGGAGCCAGCGCAGCTTGGATGGAGATTCCGTGAGAAGCCGTGGGTGGAACCAGGAGCCTCACCAAATCCACTTCACACCAGCGCTGATGCCCAGTAAAGATGTCCACTGAGGAATGATGAATCTCCCTTTATGGATTCATTTATTATTTCAATGTGACTTTAATTTTTTCAATGGATAAGCCTATGGTACAAAAATCAAAAAGCATTCAAGAGTGTACAGTGAAAAGTCTCCCTTTCCAGATATTCAAGTCACCTCCTTAAAGGTAGTCACGCTTGTGTTTTGAGGTTTCCCTCAGATTCCAGGCAGTGTGCAAATGTGCACACGTGTGCACACACATACACCACAAATACACACAAGCTTTTTTACACAAATGATAGCATACTTTATATTGGTCTGTATCTTGCTTTTTTCACTAATGTTTCTCAGACATCGGTTCATATTGACATAAATTACTTTTTCATTCTTTTATACCGCTGCATAGTATTCCATTGTGTGAGTGTACCATAGTGTATTTAACCAGTCTTCTTTTGATATATTATTTTCAATCTCTTGTTATTGCATCAGTGCTGAGTTAATAAATCAAATATATGTCATTTTTGCATATATGTAAGGATAATTTATAGGATATGTTCCTGGAAGTTTGGGTTCTCCCAGAAGCAAACCCAAGAATTTGAGTGAAACAAGCATATTTAAGAGGTGGCAGGCCAGGCACAGTGGCTCACACCTGAAATCCTAGCATTTTGGGAAGTGAAGTTATGAGGATGGCTTGAGCTCAGGAGTTCGAGACTAGCCTGGGCAACATATTGAGACCCTGTCTCCTGAAAAATTAAAAAAAATTAGCCAGGCCTGGTGTTACGTGCCTGTAGTCACAGCTACTTCGGAGGCTGAGGCAGGAGAATTACTTGAGCCCAGGAGGTCTAGACTGCAGTGAGCCATGATTGCACCACTGCACTCCAGCCTGGGTGACAGAGTGAGATCCTTTCTCAAAAATAAACAAAATAATAAAATAAAGGCCGGGCACGGTGGCTTATGCCCCTGTAATTCCAGCACTTTGGGAGGCTGAGGCAGGTGGATCAGCTAAGGTCAGGAGTTTGAGACCAACCTGTCGAACATGGTGAAACCCCGTCTCTACTAAAAATACAAAAAAAATTAGCCAGGCATGGTGGCAGGTGCCTGGTAATCTCAGCTACTTGGGAGGCCGAGGAAGGAGAATTGCTTGAACCTGGAAGGTAGATGTTGCAGTGAGATTTGATTGCATCACTGCACTCCAGCCTGGGCGACAGAGCAGGACTCCATCTTAAAAAAATAATAATAAATAAAAATCAAATAAAGAGATGGCTCCAGGAAATACCAAGGAAGGGAAGGCTGCCAATAACAGGTGTATCATCCACAGAGAAGCTGCTGTTAGTTCCTGGAGCTTCATCCCACTGGGCAGTTCTGGGAGGCAGTGCAAACACGTGCCTCAGTATCACCCCACCCAAGGGAGAAGACTGGAGTGCGTAGACACCGATTCCACTTAGCTATTGGATGAGGGCTGCTCTTGGTGGGGAGTGTTAATTTCATACCACTTCTGGCCTGCCCTGAGTGTGAGCAGAGTGGGCTCTTCTGGCCAGAGAAAGCGATACCAGTGCTGCCGGCTCCATGTCTGACAGGTGAACACAGCCCCTGGCACGGTCTTTTTGGTCCAGGTCAGGGCACCAGCAGCACTTGCTGCCAAGGTGTGTGCAAGTGACGTTTTGGTGGCGGCTTCCTCGGAGGGAGGACGCCCAGTGCCTGTCTCTCATACTTTGCAAACACAGTAAACACTACCCTGGCTGAACATACATCCTCTCTAATCCTCACACCAGTCCTTGGTATTTATATGAATTTCACTTATGAGGAAATCAAGGCTTAGATAGATCATACCAATTGCCTGAGTTCATACAGCTGAGAAGGAATGGAGCTAGGAATTGATCCCAGCTCTGCCTAGCTCTAAAGCTTTTCTCTTTTACTGTCCTGACAGCCTCAGAGGAATGGCCCCAGAGCAGGCATGAGGGAGTGTGGGGAGAGGGTGGCTGTTATTTAACTGTTATGATATTAGGTTAAAGCATATGAAATTGATGACATGTTTTTGGACTAAAATGGTTCTTTCTTTCTTTTTCTTTCTTCTTTCTTTCTTTCTTTCTTCCTTTTTCTTTCTTTCTCTTTCTCTTTCTTTTCTTTCCTCTCTTTCTCTCTTTCTTCTCTCTTTCTTTCTCTTTATTTATTTGTTTATTTCCTTCTTTCCTTCCTTCCTTCTTTTCTTTTCTTTTCTTTTCTTTTCTTTCTTTTCGGTGGAGTCTCACTCTTTCACCCAGACTGGAGTGCAGTGGTGTGATCTCAGCTCACTGCAACCTCTCCCTCCCGGGTTCAAGTGATTATCTTGCCTCAGCCTCCTCAGTAGCTGGGATTACAGGTGTGCACCACAATGCCCGGCTAATTTTTTGTGTGTGTGTATTTTTGGTAGAGATGGGGTTCTGCCATGTTGGCCACACTGGTCTTGAACTCCTGACCTCAGGTGATCCACCTGCCTTGGCCTCCCGAAGTGCTGGGATTACAGGTGTGAGTCGCTGTGCCCGGCCAAAAAATGGTAATTTCATGATCTTCACTGAAATACAAGAAACTCACGACTTAGAGGGACACTTGTTCCACATGTGGCAGGAGGAGAGAGGGCTTACTCCTTAGGGAGGTGAAGGAAGGGTCCCCAAGGCAGGTGACACCTGACTGAAGCAGGGACAGAAGTCCTCCAGGCAGAGGGGAGGGCAGGGCAGGCTGGGAGAGTGGGCAGGGCTTGGGCACAAGTGCTTTACAAGCTGGGGCGAGGAGTCTCAATTTCACTCAAAGTGCAGTGAGATGCCCTGAAAAGGTGGCTGATGAGACAATGGCCCTTTGTATCTGTGGGGGTGACACAATACATGGTCACCTTTAGACGGTTCTTTCCTATTTCCTCGCCTGACTTAAATAAAATCTGTTAAGAATTTCTCTCTTTCCTTATGTTGAAAGATAAAAGTCCTCAATATCTCCAGAAGTCCTGAATTGCTCTAGGAATGAGAGAGCTCCGTACCTCCAGTCGCCTGTCCTTTCACCCTCCATATCTGTAGTTGCCTGTCCTTGCAGCCTCCATGTCTACAGCCACCTGTCCTTGCAGCCTCCGTATCTAGTCGCCTGTCCTTGCAGCCTCCATGCTGGTCCTTGCAGTCTTCGTACCTAGTTGCTTGTCCTGGCAGCCTCCGTACCTGTAGTTGCCTGTCCTTGAAGCCTCCGCACCTGTAGTCGCCTGTCCTTGCAGCCTCCATACCTGTAGCCACCTGTCCTTGCAGCCTCCATACCTGTAGCCACCTGTCCTTGCAGCCTCCAT